AACGATTTACTCGTATATAGGGGCTTGAAGCTAAGAGCTAATCATAGCATTGTGTGTTAGATCCCTCTTCTAACAACAATAGCTGAACATGTTACTACAACCAACATCAAATAGATATGATAAGATAATGGTCGTGATAATAATGATTAAATCATGAGTGGGTGGTTGGAGGGCACCACTGGTTGGTCCTACTTCTTTACTTTCAATTGTGTTGTTTCTGTCTGTCTGTCTTACTTTTTCCCAGCACTAAATGACCATTAATGTGTCGATGTGCTTCTCTCTACTCAAACAATTACTTTTTAATAATCATACATTCATTAATGATGATAATAGCAATGACAATAATGATTATACTTGCATTCTTCTTCTTTTCTTGTTCTTGTTCTTGTTCTTGTTCTTGTTCTTGTTCTTGTTCTTCTTGTTCTTCTTGTTCTTCTTGTTCTTCTTGTTCTCCTTCTTCTTCTTCTTCTTCTTCTTCTTCTTCTTCTTCTTCTTCTTCTTCTTCTTCACGCCAACATTAAAAGATACTAGAGTAAAAGACAAAATAGAAAAGTTTAAAAAAACACAAGTTTACAACAAAATAAGCAGCGTCGTATGTCCAAGCGTTTTGCTAATAATTTCAAAATTTATGAGCCAAAGATACGTGAGGTTTTATCATGCCCACATGCTACCAGACCTCTCGTTATCCCGAGGAATTTGTTTCGGAAAGTGGTGACTGGGTGAGTCATAATTATGTATCTCCGAAATTATCGAAGGGTGGGACCGCACCGCCTCATCTGCCCCCCATAATGGGAAGAGGGACTTGCCAGCCCGGTGCATTATGGGAGGAGAGTATGCTGATTCGGGACCAGTTGACCTCGTGGCGCGGGGGTCATGGGACATGCGCAGAGGCAGGACGCCCCGGAAGAGGTCACGGGCTAACGAAATGAGAACACGCGTTTCAAATTACGGCACTTTGCGGATTGTTGAGGCTCATGATTAGCGCGCAGGGTTGGGCTGTGTTAGTGGTAAGGCTAACCTACCCATGGGTGCACGGGGAGAGAGGACAAACGCAGTGGAGATTAATCATTTTCCTCCTGTTTTTTTGTCCATGTTTTTTATCTTCTCTGTTTTTTACTTAATT